TAATTCTGAAAATTTCCTTTTATGATTAGGATGAAAAACATCACTAATAGAAACATAGTTCTTTTTCAAAGCAGGGAGTGGTGACAAAGTTAAGAAACTAAATTATTTTGATTGCAGCATCATACATATTTATTTTGTTTGATCTAAAAATTTACATCTATTATAACTTCTTTTGGCATTGTACAATTGGTTTCTGCTCTCTGCATACTAGAAATCAGTGGATAAGACAGAACAAACCTGGAATCCTTTTTAAGTTACTTTTAAGTGCTTTGAGAATAAAAATGATAGCTAGCACTTGAGTGCTACTGTGTGCCAGGCACCCTGTGTAGTACCTCAAATGCATTTTCATTTAATTTTTACAATGCTACCTGATTGATATTATTTCCATTTCACTGATGTTTAAAGAAAGTAGTAGTCCTACAGTATGAATCCAGTGACATCTGAAATGCTCTTCATGGTCCTGCTTTCTAAAGGACACCAGTAACTGCAGGGAAATTGAAATTGATGAGGAAAATGTTCACGATAAGGAAGTGAGATTAGGCATATTAAGAAGAGTCTCTACCAAATCTTGCTATGTAAGTTAAGCAGTCTGCCAGAGACCTCTCCTAAAGTTAAGCTTCCTCTATAAAGAGGAAGATGAAACTATTACCTACAAATTCCCTCAACTAACTGTCTTAACATTGTCATATTTCTCCAAAGCCTCTCATGCAGTCAAAATACGAATTGTCCTCCTCTTCAATCAGTACTCCGAAACCTGGGCAATTTCATGTCTTTACAGAAAATTTGCCTGATTTCTCATCTTTCTTGCTCCAGGGTTTTCCTTCCCAATTGCCTTATATATATGAACATATTCTCAAAATACAGCAGCAACAAAATAATCCTTTTATTCATTCCACAGTCCAGTGTTATGTGCAGAAGTTTACTTATAAAGGCAAATAAGATACAATCCCAGCCCTCTAAGAGCTTGGACTTCAAGAGAAGGACATGAATGTTACAGATATTAAATATATGACTAAATAATGTAAACAGGCATGGTTTTAAAAAATTTATTATTTTTGACTGCACTGGGTCTTCATTGCTGCACACAGGCTGTCACTAGTCGGAGTGAGTGAGGGCTGCTTTCTAGTTGCAGTGCACAGGCTCGTCATTGTGGTGGCTTCTCTTGTTGCGTTCCAGGGCAGGCAAGGTTCAGTAGTTGGTGGTGCGTGGGCTTAACTGTCCCACCGCATGTGGAATCTTGAGCAGGGATTGAACCCATGTTCATTGGCAGGAAAATTCCTAAACCACTGCACCACCAGGCAGTCCAAAAGGCATGTTTTCACGGAAGTCTTAAAGATACTGTTGTAGGAGTCTATTTTGTTTGTTTGTTTATTCAGTCAGTCATGTCTCACTCTTTGTGACCCTTTGGATGATAGCCAGCCAGGCTCCTCTGTCCCTGGGTTTGCCCAGACAAGAATACTGGAGTGGATTGTCATTTCCTTCTCCAAGGGATCTTCCCAACCCAGAGATCAAACCCCCGTCTCCTGGGTCTCTTGCATTGCACATGGATTCTTTACCCACTGAGCCATTGAGGAAGCCTCCTAACTTACTTGGCTAAATCCTACTTTTCATCCAAATATTTGGCTCCTGACCTTCTGTTGTTTCTGCCTTAATTGTTCATCAGGGGTCTGGTTTTACCTCAGTGTGCCCGTTTTCTTTCCTTCTCCTTGGACTTCTCCATTGCTAATCTAGTTGCTTACAGTTCTGATTTCCTTTTTTGATGGACAGTAACTTGGGAGAGTGTCAAGAAGACAAGACATGGTTGTTATCATTCATGTTTTTATGACATAGCAGTAGGGATTAAATAAAATAGGTTTTTGTTTCATATAGCATAGGGGTCATTTAAAAGATTAAAATCCTTTCCCTGTGCTTTTTATAGTTACACATAACTTATGTTAAAAGATAAAAGTATTACAGAAATATAAAACTTAGAACTGAAAGATGCATTCCCTAAATATTTATTGAGTGCCTACTATGTGATAAGATACTATTAGTTATTGAAACGTAATTGCTGTTAATAGTTTGGTGTATATTCTTACAGCTGTTTTTAAAGATCTTTGAATCATATAAGGAATAATATTTACTAAAATAAAATCATACTTAAAATTGCTCTTTTATTTCTTTTCATCACAATATATTTTGGATGATTTTCATTTAGCATATAAAGATTCACCTATTCATTTAAACTGCTAGATAGTATTTTTTTGACTGGATAGACCATAATTTAGGTAATAAAAGTCCTATTGACAGATTCCTGATAGTTTTCAGTTTCTTTTTTCACAAACAGTGATACAATGAAAATCCTTTTACATATTTTTTTGGCATATCTGTTTCTGGATCATAAACTTCTAGAAGTGAAGTTACTAGACCAAATGGGTATATTCATCTTAGAATCTTAATAAAGATTGCTTAAGTATCAACCTTCCTGTTTCCCGTTTTATCAACACCAGATATTATTATTATTTATACTGCCTGCCAGTCTAATTGATGAATATGTTTCATTGTTTTAATTTGCATTGAAAAATTATCAATGAGATAGGGCTTTCTTTTTTAGCTAGTTGTATTTTATGTATTTTGCCCTGTACTATGTTCATGTCCTTGGCCCAATTTTCTGTTGGACTGCTCTTTATTTTGATATGTTATACAAAATAGTCCTGTCATATGTTAGAATTTTTTTCTAAATATATACTCTAAATATAGTTTTTAAAAATATATTCTGTACCTTACATCATAGAAGTTTTAATTTTATAGGTAGTCATATTTCTTATTCTTTCTTAAAGCATCTTCATTTTGTTTCATGCTTAGGGATTCCTTTCCCAGCAAGAACAATAAGAGTCCAAAAGAGTCTCAATATCAGTAGTACCTTTTGAGTTTTTTCATATTCAGGATTAGTGATGTCCATCGGTGTTCGTTGCCTTGTTTCTTTTATTGTGTTCTTAGATTTTGATCTCCCAACTTAGCGTGTACAATTTGGCACTTTGGTGTGTTATTATTTACTGTGTGGCAAATTAGAGTATAATGTGGGATCATCTTGGACTCTGCTTAATTGAATATCAACTTATAAACACTTAGGTTTGGTGCTAATTAATAAGAAGGGTGACCAGAAGTCTGTTTGCCTGAGATAGTGTAAGTTTAACCTGTTTCCTAGTGTAATTTTTAATAGTGTCCCTTTTCACTGCTGATGTTAAACAAATAAAACCAGCCAGTTATTGTACCAGCAGAATAAGTTTATTTTCTAATAGGAGAGAATTGCAATTTGGGACAAGCAAACAACAGTAAACGATAGGCATATCTGGAGAATGGAGGAGAGGGGCTTGCTTTTATAGAGAAAAGGAGGAAATTGGGGAGGGCTGCAGGGGTTCTTCACTGACTGCAGGTGGCTAGCAGCTTGTCCTTGCTGGGTCGGGAGGAAATCTTCCTTCCTGTTAGTGCCTGTAAGCTGCCACGAATGATACATGTGTGAGAATTGCCCCTTCAGGGTTTCCTGACTTCATTTTAAACGAGATTTCCTTTATTCATTTTCATATTACTCACAGAAGTGCCTCATTTTAGTTAAAAATTATAAGGATTATAAGGCATAGTTTTTCATGAAAAAAACTATTCTAATATTAAGACTTCAGTTGTTTCTGTTTACTTTATTCCTCCAATACTTAGTGATACTTCATTTGCTTTAGCTTTAAAAGAAATAAAACCTCTCAGTTCTATGTGAGGTATTTCTAGAGCAGTGATGTTAGCATATAGCCTCTTAACCTTCATTCCCAATATCCAGAATAATACTTGCTTTTTAGAATAAAATGTCCATCATCATTCTTGTTTATCTGATATTGTCCTAAAGATGATGAAGCATTTGTTTGTGTGTGTATATATAGTTTGGTTTTATTTTGCTAAATATGTGATAAAATCTTTTCAGGTGGATATAAGCACATCTTTTAAACATCACCAAATAAATCTTTATTTATCACATTAATTTTTGGTGTTGAATATATCCACTGGTATGAATGAGTTTCTGCTTGGATCATTGGATTTGTCACATGCTAAGCAATATTGTTTTTAACACAGATCCCTGTGAGATTCACTTAATGCCAATCCTTATTATACTATAACAGCATTGGTGAAACTTTGGTATGTGCTATCAGCCAGACAGATTTTTATCTAGCTTATTTTATCATTCAATCAGTACTTCTGCAGCCTTTTCTTAGGTAGCACTGTGTCAAAAGCTTTGTTATAGTGTAGGTGAGTTGTGTCCATTACATTTCCTTTCTTTACCAAGTCTGTTACCATTCAAAAGATTTATAGAATTTAGAATTAACTTATTTTCACTACTGATTATAAACTACAACTCAAGCTGTCTTATTCTTTCTAAAACTATTACTTTATATTTTGCAATGTTTTATGAAGTTGTCATTTTGAAAGATGAAAGTTTCATCTCTGGGAGACACTGGGACATGGATTTGATCCCTGGGTTGAGAAAGATCCCCTGGAGCAGGAAATGGCAACCCACTCTAGTATGCTTGTCTGTAGAATCCCACGGACAGCGGAGCCTGGTGGCCCTCTGTCCATAGGGTCTCAAGGAGTAGGACACGACTGAGCGACTGAATACACACACACAATATTTGAGAATACTAAACTGATGAATAAAATACTAAATAGGAATTTCTAACCATGTTACCATTAGCTTTTAAATTTTACTTCCGTTGGGTAAAGATATTTATTTATAGGTATTTTCAGTTTCATACCATGTAAACTGTGGACAAGAATTTTAATAAAAACTTTGTGCTTTGAAAATATTTATTTTGGCACTGAAATAAAATATATTATTGAAGTTTATACTGTTATTTTTGCAGTGGTGTAATATAAGCAGAAGTATTTGTTTTATTAGAAACAGTCATGCTTATTGTTTTATAACACATAAATATACAATGTACTATATAATGTTTGTTGTTTTTGTGTTTCTTCTGCAGAGAGTGATAATGAACTCTCAAGTGGAACAGGTGATGTGTCTAAGGATTGTCCTGAGAAGATCCTATATTCTTGGGGAGAATTGCTAGGAAGATGGTAAAAATTTATTTTTCTTATTGAAAATTTTATATTTATATGATTGTTCATCTGTTGTATTAATTAAAAAACTGCATGTTTATGTATCTTTATATTGAGATAACTTAGGGAGTAAATATAGATAGTCATCTAGGTGTCAAGCCCTCAACCAGCAGTTGAGTTTGGCAGTTGGAAAGATGAGTAGGAAATATTGTGCAAAGGAGTCCCAGAAAGCACAACCAATAGTGTAGGAGGAGAGTCAAGCTAAACACAAGTGAATAAGTCTATCAAGAACGAAGTGCCCAGCTGCTGAAAGGTCACGTTGGAGGAAGCCTGAGAATTTCATTGAGTCCAGCAGTTTGAATGTCACTGGTGACTCACACAAGAAACTCTCCATAGAGAGGGAGGAATGAAAGCCTGGTTGGACTATATCTAGGAGGAAAGGTAATCATCAGGTATAGATAGATAACTCTCGAGAGAAGTTTTGCTATAAAGGGGTGATAAGAAATAAGGACATATTAGTAAGTGAATGTGGGTTGAGAGATAATTTGAGCATGTACATTGTGTGCTGCTGTACGTGACTTGCAGAGAGAGAAAATTTGATGATGCCACAAGAGGACACAATTGCAAGGGAAGCTGATGAATAGGCAGGAAGAGATGGGACTTGTTGAGTGATGGAGTTAGAGTTAGGAGCATGATCATGCTGCAAGTCAGTGACAGAGCCAGGGTTTGAATCTCGGCAGTCTGGCTCCAAAGGCAGGACTTTTTAACCAGTTGGACAGGCTGCCATTTCTATAATGTACATAGATTTCTGGATTCGTTATTATCGGTGCATGTAGAAGGTTTAGTAAGCGAGAGAATAGACTCAGAAAATTGATACTGTTTCCAGGCTTCTAGTATGAGTTTAAAAAGAAATAATGAGAATGACAGTATGATGGACAATACAATAAAATACGTTTATGACTAATTAGACAGCCAGTTGAGATCTTCACTCTTTAAAATTGATTTGTCCACAAGATTTATAACTTGTTTCAATATAAAGCATCCTTGTAGGCTCTAGGAGATACACAGGTAAACACATAGCTCCTACCTTTGAGATTCACAAGCAAGAAGGGTGGGAATAGATAACAGGCCATTTTAACAAAATAACTGAAAAACTGAGGTTATTTCAAATTTCTTAACCATTTTGTTATGTTTCTTTTCTGTGAAATGACAATCATTTGATTCTTGAGCCAACTTAAAAATATCATCTACTTTCTCTAAGGAACTGTACTAGACACTGCTGAGTTAAAGATGAATAGTAGAAAGTCCCTACCCCCAAGGAGTTTACCATCTTACAGAGACAGTGAAAGTGTTAGTCATTCAGTCGTGTCTGACTCTTTATGACCCCATGAACTGTAGTCCACCAGGCCCCTCTGTCCATGGAATTCTCCAGGCAGGAATACTGGAGTGGTTGTAATTTCCTTCTTCAGGGGATCTTCTGACCCAGGGATTGAATCCAGGTCTCCTGCATTGCGGGTAGATTTACTGTCCAAGCCACCAGGGAAGCCGCTAGAGGCATATAGACATTAAAGCAGAGAATTGTGACATAATGGATAAATGTTTCTGTTAGCACCCAGTGAAAATGTTGGAGTGAACACAGGAGTAGGAAAAAAAATACAATAAACACGATAAAGACAATTCCCAACAAATATTTTAAAGGTGAAGTTGCTATTATGGGGACTTCCCTGGTGGTCCAGTTGGTAACCCGGGGACTCAGATTCAATCCCTGGTAAGGGAGCTACATCCCGCATGCTGCAACTAAGACTTTGCATGCCTCAACCAGAGGTTCTCAGTGTCACAACAAAGACCAGGCACAGCCAAACAAATAAATAAAAGTAAATACTACTAAAAAAGATCTTGGAAAATAACCTTTAAAAAATTGCTTTTATTATGCTTTTTATTATTTAGAAGGTAATTTTGGAGTCAGAAGAAATTGTTAATAGAGTAACTAGTTAGGACATAACTGAATGGGTTGATGAGGTCAGTACCAAACTCATGGGCCTTCTGTATAAAGTGTAGTTCCAAATGGAGAAAGAATTCTAAAGTAGAGTTGATGGGATTCCTCAGCTACCATTCAGTGTACATTTTTTCAGAAATATAATCTTTCTACATTATATTTTTTGTAGTAGACTTTAGCTAACTCATTTATAGAATCTTAGGGAACTTTTTTAAAGAACTTAGATAAGTGGTTTTTAGACCTGTAGAAAACTTTTTGAATCTTTTACAGTTGAAGTATTTTTATGTTTACTTGTCTCATTGTAGTTGTGTCATGACAGTTTATGTGAAAATGATGAGATTTGCCTAATTGAGAGAAGTTTATTTCTATTACACAAGAATTGACAAAGTTTTAAAATTGCTCTTGGCGTATCTTTTTTAACATTAATGTTTCTGTGGGTTTAGAGCATTTCAGTGAGTCTTAGGAATATTAGTTAGGGACTTACAAGAAGATATTTTTGTGATTCAGTTAGGTAGGGCACCTATTGTGCTTCATTTTGTGCTTTGGGGGAAAATTTTGTTTATGAGGAGACAGCCTGTGTTATCAAGGGGTTTTTAAATAAAACGTAGTTGAAAGTATTTTGAACTTACTGTGAAACAATGAGATCACTATATCAAAATAAAGTGAAACTTTTATGGATAAAATCAGAACTCAGATAATGAAATATACTATTAGAAATATATAAAGGGAGACTCGGAGAAGGCAGTGGCACCCCACTCCAGTACTCTTACCTGGAAAATCCCATGGATGGAGGAGCCTGGTAGGCTGCAGTCTATGGGGTCGCTAAGAGTCGGACACGACTGAGCAACTTCACTTTCATGCATTGGAGAAGGAAATGGCAGCCCACTCCAGTGTTCTTGCTTAGAGAATCCCAGGGACAGGGGAGCCTGGTGGGCTGCTGTCTATGGGGTTGCGTAGAGTTGGACACGACTGAAGTGATTTAGCAGCAGTAGCAGCAAAGGAAGACTAATACTAATTTTAAGTTATCAGAAAAAAATAAAGATACTATGGGAAAGAAAATGGAAAACACAGTAAAAATTCAGTGATGGAGGTCTTCATATGAAATTGGAGTTAAAATGTTTTGAAATACTACATAAAAAAGTGAGCAAACAAAAGATTTAGAGAAAAGGAGAGGAAGAACGTCAGGGAGAGAGGAATTGAGGAAATGTTTGTGATAGAAATTTGGGAAGATCCCCTGGAGAAGAGATTGGCTACCCACCCACTCCAGTATTCTTTCTTGGAGTATTCCATGGACAGAGAGCCTGACAGGTTACGGACCATAGGGTCACAGAGTCGGACATGACTGGGCAACTAACACACTTGTGATAGAAGGACTTGAAAACACCAAACTGAAAGTGGTAGCAAGATTTTTTTTTAATGTGTTGAATATATTCAGAATGGTAATGCTGATGTCTTGCATATTAAATAATTATTTAAGGAATTGGGGCAGAATTATTTCTGGAAAACTGTTTCTGGTTTTGAATTGTATCAAAGCTGTTGAGATTCTTCTTTTTTTTTTTTTTTTTTACATAGAATAGAATCCTGTTTTTATTAGACTACAAATTGAAGGAGTAAATTAAGTTATTAATTTGAAATTATATTGACCTGAAAATTATCAAACAATATTTTTTAGAGAAAAACTATAGTGACAAAATCTGTAGTATGAACTCTTACTGTGAGAGCAAACCAATGGACACTATTATTATTGAATTAAAGTATTAACAGATTATCTCTGCATGGTGGGAGTTAGGGTTTTTCTTTTTTTCTTTTTTTTCTTTTTCTATTTATTTTTATTAGAAGACTAGGAGAACACTGTGCTGACCCTGAACACTTAGATGTAAGTTAACTTTTGTGGTAGGAAGATTTTCTAACCAAAACACTAAGGGAACTTTGTGATAAAATTTAAGTATTGGTTTACTATATATAAATAAAACTACCTTCAGACTATTCATTTACCTTTGTTAGACTTTCAGAAAATTGATACAGATTTAATAGGCACTTTGATTGTATTCTTCATGACTATCCTTATTATCAAAGTGGGAAAATATGTTCTTAATCCATGATCTCTCAACCTAGGCGAACATCAGCAAAATGATCCGCCAAAATATCTAAATTCGGAAAACATGAAGAATTCAAATCACTAAGCGTGAACATAAATAGCTTCCTTCCTTTTCACATCAATATAATGTTCAACTTTTTCCACTAATGAAAAAACCCGGTGAAAGCATATACATATCAGAACAAAGTATGTGCTCTTGCTTTTCCTAGTGATCTTTAATCTATCTCTTTTCTTGAAACTTCTTCATGTATCTTGATTAACTTAAAGTGAGACCTCGGTTGACATATATAGGTCTTACCATTAATGAGGGAAGGACAAATCCCCAACTTTACTTGATGTCCCCCATCTTTTAGTTTCAGTTCTAACTATTCCTTTTTCTGAGAAGACCTTTTAAAGTGGGTCAAGCTGCTGCCCTCACATTCTCATATCTTCTAGCCACCTACTTCCTCTTCTTCTTTTATCAAAATTGCCCCAATTCTATAAGTGACCTCTGAGTATCATTCAATGGCTTTTCTTCTCATTTCTTGATTTCTCTGCTGTTTTTGTTAGAAATTATAGCTCCTCTTTGAAATTCTTTCCTAGACAGCCTTAAAAAATAAAGTTCTTTTTTTTTTTTTAAATAGAGAAAGTTCTTATATGCCCAAACAGTTTCAAGAAAAGATGCCTCTTTGAAGGCAACCAGATGAATATACAACTGCTTTATGATGCTGTTAAATCAGTGAGACTGTTTGCCTTTGAAAAAAGCATTCTTTAGCTTAGCTGTATTAGTTGTTCATGTTAATTTAGTCTCATAAATCTATTCTTTTATCTAAAAGTATTGAATACTTGTATATAACAGGGTACTGCTCTAGATGCTTCAGATATATAAGTAAAGAAGATAGAGATTCCTTCCCTTGTGGAACTTACATTCATGCATTACAAACT